AAAGCAATCGAGAATTTTAGTAGGCTGAGTAGTAAGAAATATGCACTATGTCCGTTGCCTGGTGACCGGCCCCTTCGACTGTTTAATCCTTCAACTATTTAATCCTTTGATTTAACCCTTCGACTATTTAATCCAAAACTGTGAACTTTGCATTGAAGCCCACAGAAAACTGTATGAGCCTTTGCCGCACCTTCAGAAAAACAACAATCAACCAAACGCCCTGAGCAATCTTAAGAGAAACAAGGAATCACTTGATGAGAGGTCAGCAGATTGGTTCTCACAGCTGCTACAGTTTCTCCCGGAGCAAACACTCAAACACCCAACCCACAATCCAGCTTTAGTGGCCAGTATTGAAATGCTCCATGGTGTTCTCCTCAATTGGCCCTTCTTGGGGAGGCCAAAGAGTCAGAAACTGACCCTGCCTCCCACAGAGCTCGGGACCCAGTGGACGTTCAGGTGTCATGAAGGCAGTGGGGGTGGAGAACGCTTTTCTCCCCAGTGAACTACCAGACGGTGAGATTGGAGAAGCCCCATCTGAACCCTCTCAATCGGTATGTGGTACCCAGGTGGCCATGTTCCACCCTGTGACGTTTCACATATAAACAGACAATGTGTAGGTGCTCAGCTGGGTAGATTTTTGGTCACATGCCCAGAGTGAAGTTGATGATCCCTGCCGGGGTCAGGAAGGAATTTTCCTCCTCTGGCAAACTGGCCAAGGCTGGGTAGTTTTCTTCTTTGCCTTTCTTTCTTTCTCTCTCTCTCTCTCTCTCTCTCTCTCTCTCTCTCTCTGGAAGGCTGAGCAGAGCAGTCTGGTTGCTCCAGCCATGGGCACCGCAGCTGTTATTGCTGCCTCTGGTTTGTGTGGGGGCCAGAAGCCCACAGGCCTGGCCGTTTGACGGGGTGGACCCTCTCCGAGTGCACACCGTATGTAAGCCAGCTCTGAGAAAGGTTGGGAAAGCAGCACTGGAAGGTATCCAGGGACTCCAGCTTCCATGCAATTGCTGCCTCTCTCCCAAAGGTACTTGCAGCCGGCCTTTCTCATGCATGGAGGGGAACCCACCTGAATCCTCACCTTGTGTTGATTGTGTTTGATCCTTTCCTGCTTAACGGATGGCTGTTAATCTTGGGGAAACTGGGTTCCACTGCTGTGGGTCTGCTGGGGGACAATGTGAGGGCTCAGAAGGTTTAAAGCACTTAGCTTCAGTTATCCTGAGATCCCTAAACCAGCCTAGAACAGGTAGAAGACAATGGGCATAGGAGGGTAGGCAGAGGAGGGAATCAGAAATGTTTTCAGAGCTACTGGTTTAATCTGTGATTGTACCAGTTGGATTTTAGTCCAGTTCAATGAGCCTACTGGACCACAGTATCCAAATATAATCAACATGTGTGCTTGTTTGTGTGTGTGTGTGTGTCTGTGTGTGTTCACAAATGTTGTCCATCTTGTCTATCTCCATCTAGCAGGTGAAGAACTAGGTTTAGAGAGGTGCAAGGGCAGAATTCGAACCCCACGTTCAGGGCTTTTTCCATGATGACGTCACCCAGCCCCTCAAAAATAAAGAGTGTGGCTAGACCAGCGGGCCCAAGAAGAATCTCGTCCTGTTGAGATGTTAGGGCCGTCTAACCCAGTGCTTCTGAGCCCTTTTATTATTACCCCCATCCCATTGGGAACAGCTGGCCCAACCTGAGGCTGGGCTTACCTCTTGCCAGGCCTTGCTGAGAAATGAGAGCTCACGCCACTACTGCTTCCCGCCCACTCTGCTCACCTGTATGAAAGAAATCTTTAAGGGCCCTGCTGTTCACTCATTGCGAGGACCTTAGAGGGCCTAAAGGAGAGGGGCTGCGGAACACAAAGGAGCCATTATTCTTGAACTTGCACACCTAGTGCATGCTGGCTAAGTGGCCAAGGACTTTTGTGGCATGCCCAGAGCGAATAGCGTGCTATTGCAATTGTAAAACAAAACAAAAAGAAAATAAAGAAGGGAAAAACCTCCTGCTGCTTCCATAAAAGTTTTTTTTCTCCAAAAAGCAAGAAGTAATTACAGAAGGAATATAGCAGGCCATACACCCAAGAGAGCCCTTTAAGAAAAACCTAACAGATATAATTTCCCAAAGGGAATCAGATACGACTTTGTGGGAAGTGCTGGAGAGATTACAGATTAAGAAAGCAGGTTGGTGTAATTAAAAATCCTTAAAGAATGTAAATACTGTATCGATCAAAAAATATTCCTAATTTTTATGATTAAATTCCATTTTCAAATGACTTTTTAAAGACCCCAAATGACTCTTGAGAACTGCTTGTCAGGCATCAGTGAGAAAAGTCTCCTGCAGCTGTGCTCACATTTTATCTGGAGAGAGAGCCCCACTATTGGCATTGAAGACCCAGAGACAAGTGTTCTGGGTTTTTTTCCATTTGGGGTTTACCTTCTCTTTCTCCAGCTCAATGAGAGTCACGTCTTCTTTCTTTTTCTTCCACTTTCTGAGCTTTCTGGCACAGAAGGAGTGAAGATAGTTTTATCTTTAGTCCTCATTGAACTTTTCTGAAGCCCAGAAAGCAGAAGAGATCTTGGGCTTCAGGGACACTTCCCTTCCTCACAAACCCCACTCCATCTTTCTTCATCCTGCCCTCCATCATCCCCCACACCCTACCCCACTCTGGATATAAAACCAGCCAATCCATGGGAAAATCAGAGCCCAAACCCAGGCAGCCTTGACTCCTACTAGAGAGGCTCCCAGGGGAGATCTGTGGCCATGATAATCTGCTAGACCCATTAACCCTGTGCAGGCATCACAAAGAAGCCACATCTGGGGACTTATAAGTACTGGTCCAGAAAGGGTGCACAAAGATGGGATTCAAACTCTGCTTTCTATCCATGTCCAGGGTGCAGTTCTCATGCACACTGGATGGTGGTGACGATGGTAAATTTCTCAACAAAGAATTTGCCTTTAATTCGAGAATCGCACAACCCCTGCCCCTCTTAGTATCTCTGCGTCACAAAGTGTACCTAAGCTGCAACTGTTTTTAGAAAGGGAGGCAGATAGACCAAGAGTCAGAAGACTTAGACCCTCTCTCCAATATAATCATGCTGTCTACTGCGTGAGTTACACAAATTCCTTCCCTGTAAAATGGCAGGATGAGCAGAGAGATTAGACCAACTTGGTGTTTTCTAGCATGGTATTCACATCCCTGGCAAGGTACAAGTAGATTCTGCTCTGCAGTTGACAAACTCTTTCTCAAAGAGCCAGATAATAAATACTTTAGCATTTATCGATGCACAAACTCAAGGATGTTGTGTAGGTACTTACTTTAAAATGTAAAATCATTTTTGACTGCAGAACATACAAAAGTAGGTAGTAGACTGGATTTGGCCTGAGAATATAGTTTGATAGTCTCTGATTTAGGTGGGACATGGAAGAACATTCTCTATTTAAATTGTAATATATTTTTTCATGTACTTTAAAAATACTTTCTCTTTGTGATATAAAGTATAAAGCCTTCCTTTTAAAATAAGCATATTAATGTTAAAACAAAAAAGTTTATTTTTTAAACTATTTTAGGTAAATGTTTGATAGGGTATAGGGTGGGTGAAATTATCATGGTGGTAGGCAAACGAGCAAAGTTTGAGAGACGTTGGATGGGATGATGGACAAGTCCTAACCATCTCAAAGTTCCCTCTTTTAATACCCCAAGATGTAGAGTCTAGTCTGTGCCTGGATGCTTCACCAGTAGTGTGATCTTGAGCTGTTCTGCCCTCATAAAAGGGGAAAGAACTGGCCTATCTCTATTACAATTTCTAGAAAAAGATAACTTAGGTAAACGGGTGTTTTAATCTGCCAAACATGGGTTTTTACATTTGAACTGGGGGAATAGAGGATACAGTGAAGTGGTAGTGTACAGGAATATGGGAAGAAGCAGAGGGAGGTTGGGATGACCAGGGATACATCCGGGTGGAAACATGAGCCTGTTCCCTTCCGCCATCCTTCCAGCCCTTTCTTGGAGTTCCCCTCACCACAGAGTGGGTGGGGAACAGAAGCTAACACTAACATCACGAGCTTTTAAACAGATAAACCTGAGCTGCCACCCAGACCCCACCACCTGCCGGCTGGGTGGTTCTGCATTTGCTATCTTGAGTCTTGGAGCCTATAGGCCTCATCTGTAAAATGGAACCACTTCCAGTGCCTGTCTCAGATTGGTTGTAGTGGGAATCATGAGAATTCGTGAATAGTGAAGCTAAGTACTACAGTACATAGCATAGAGCCTGAAGTGTAGTGTCTGTGGCACCCTCCCTTCACCAAAACTTTCAGGACAGCTGTACAACAGAATTCAGAATTCTTTGGTTGTTAGGAAGGTGAAGCTGTGTATATCCTGCAAAATACACACACAAGCACACACACACACACACACACACACACACACAAAACCCAAGGTCTAGGATTGCTCTGAAACATCAGTATCTCTGCAGTGTATCCTGAATACTCACTATGTAGAACTAAAAAGACTAGTTATAAAACTACATAACCTATATCACCATGTGTGTGTTATGTGTATAAAATGATATAGCATCAGTATAAGTCTGTTGGCTGAGAAATATGCATGTGCACCAAACACACAAACTCCCGATTTTCTTGCCCTGTTTCCAGAAGTGCATTGTTAGCTGTCATATGTCAGATATCAGAGAATTAGATGCAAGCAAACAGGGAAAGTAAATAAAGGGGCGGTGTTGCAGAATAAGAACCTCCATTCTCAAACTCCAGCTTTCCAACTTTCAAGTCACGTTGCTTGAGCAACTGCCTCAGCCCCTCTGCATTGGTTTCCTCATCTATGAAATGGGGAGAGGCAGGATGTGGTGAGGATTAAATAATGCCCGCTGTGGAATGCACTGAGGGGTGCCTGATGGCTGCCATTATTGAAGCCAAGCCTGGCCCCGCTGGGGGCACCCACATAGCATGGCTTCCGGAAGCCCACACTCTGCACCACCTTCACAGCCTCTCTGCTATTGCAGGGTGATGTTGGACTCCGTGACACACAGCACCTTCCTGCCCAACCCGTCCTTCTGTGACCCCCTGATGTCGTGGACAGATCTGTTCAGCAGTGAGGAGTATTACCCTGCCTTTGAGCCTCAGACAGGTGCGTACATCTGGAGCAGCTGGCATGGGCAAGGGCAGCTGGCATGGGCTGGGGCAGGAGGTGCAGATGTGGGTTAGACAACAGGCCACACTGGGGCCTGGAAACGCCGGTGTTGAGAGGTCAGGGGAGGCCCAGGTGGAAGGAAGGGCAGCCTCTTGCTAGAAGGAAGGCCCTGGAACCCTCACCCTGACTTCTTCCTGGTTCTCTATAAACTATCTGACCTGGCCCAAAGCAAGTGCTCATTAAACATAAGTGCCCTTGCTCTCCCTCCTCGTTTTTCCTTCCTCTGGGTCTCAGCACAGAGCTTATCCACCTGAGAAGGAAGCTTCGGGCCTTGTGCAAATCTCATGCCACAGAGATTTTATTCCAGAAACCCTCCAAGGGCCTCAGTCCCAGCGTGTCTGGGTGACTGTACATCACAGCAGAGTGGGCTGGCTGCTGGCCTGGTAAATGCGCACCACACAGGCAGTGATGCAAGCACCCATGAGGCCATCAGTTTCCACTGAGCCTTAACCCTAAACACCCCGGCCGGGCGCACTCCAACCCCAATGTGCTGAGGCAGGCAGAGTCAGGGAGGGGCTGAGCCTCCAGTCACTGTGCAGTATCTACCACCACAGAAGCCCCTGCCTCAGGGGCCAGGGCCAGGGCCACGGCTGCACACAGAACTGAGGACTGCACCTAAATCCCACAGTCCTACACTCTCCCCCATCCCACACATGCACACCTGAAATCTCTCATTCTCATCCAAGAGGTCTTGAATCATTTCAGATACAGAGGACAGTTTTCCATGGAGCCTAAGAAACACCTGAAATTCAGCTAATAGACAAACTCAGACTCTGAAGGAGCAGAATGAAAGCTCTTGGGTCCCTGACCCTCTCTGTGTCCCATGCCTCTCTCTACCCATGCTTAAGGCCAGCCCCCACTTAACCCAGACCCTGCCTAATCTCCTGGGTGACAGCTGGGGTGGCAAGAGGAGAGAGAAGTGGCCTTAACCATCTGACCCCTTGATGCTCAGACATTGGGAGCGGCACCTTCTATAGTTGCCAAGAGCTCAGGGTCTGGAGTTGGGCGTCCTAAATGTGAAGCCTATGATCAGTGCCATCTTAACCTCTTGTAGCCTAGTCATCTCATCCGGATGATGGGGAGAATAATAATGCCTCCCCGGGAGGGTTGTTATGAGACTCAGATGAGTTCCTAAATATGAAGTGCGTGGGACATGGTCTGGCCTGGTCCATGGCCTGCACACACAGGTGTTTACAAAAATGGAGCGTTAGCTCCAGTAGGGTGTGACGAACAGTTGTAGGGCTAGCTGGTACCAATGATTGTTTAGCAGTACAAATGTATTTAATGTCACTAAATGGTAAGCTTACAAGGGGTTAAAATGGTGTTTTATGGGATTTTTATTTTATCACCATTTTTAAAAATGAAAAGTTAACAGAAATGGTCACCAATAAATTGCCAGTATGACTTAAAGCTGAGCAGATCATGGGTTCTCAGATGTGGCTCTCTCCCAGCTGAGGCCTCTGCATTTCCACCAGTTTAATGAGAGGTGGAACCAGGTAATTGCTAGGGTTCCTTCCAGAAGCTTCTCTGGATACTACGTCATGCAATATCACAAGCGTAGCTTTCTTCTCCCACCACTGAGAGAATAGAAATTTCCACTGGGGTGTGAGGCCAATGAAAATAAAATGCCCTTTGGGAGTAACATAGGTTCCTGACATTCCCTGAGAGAGGAGCCAGGTTTTTACCACCTGGCCCTCTCTCTAGATTTCAGAAGAAGGTGGGTTATCCTGACCTCTTACAGGGCAAAGTTGGGCATGAAAGCGTAGTCTCGTGTGAGCATCTCTCACCGAGCTGCCCGGGCACCAGGTGAACGTTATGAGCCCCACTGATGCGAGGAATACCTGGCAGTCCCTTCTTGTCTTCTTCTAACAGAGACATCACCACCCAGAGAGATGACTCCTTGGTATCAGTTTCCACAAAAGCCAGGGATATGTCAGGGATGGCCACGTTTGCCCTGGGCATGTCTCTGAAAACTTTTGTTGCTTGGTGGCCAAATGTCCCCAAGGCATCTTTACCCAGGTCCTCTCCCACCTCACAGGAATTGCCATCTTGAATTCAGAGCTTGGCTTAGGGACTGTCCTTGTGGCACCTTCCTGCTTCAGCCTAGCTTTGAGTGTGGATATTGCCATTACCAGCCATGTGATCTCCAGCCAGTTTGTTTGAAACATATTTTTCTGTGCAGAAATAATACACACCTCTTAGAGTGAGAGGATAGGATGAGATTTTTGTCTATTAAATGTTTAACCAAGTGCCTGGTACATGGTAATTCCAAATGTAGGCAGATAGAGTCCCCAACTCCTAGACGGACAGAAAAGCAGCTCCCTGTCTCCTTTAGTATTCTTCATACTGAACAAAAGTTACACAGATCTCTATTGCAACCTTCCCAATATTTGACAGTATAGATACTTTAAGATCAAAGGGAAAGGAAATAAAGAAATAGTGTTCCCTCTAGATAAATGATCTAGAACGCAGGGTAGGCAGGAGTGGTTAGTGTGTTGAGGAAAACCAGCTGTTTTCCAAATTTTTTAAAATGTCTGTGGCAGTGTTGCAGAAACTGTGCCCGCCATGTGCCAACCACAAATGGTTCCGCCTGCTCTTTGAAGCAGGACTTCTGCTTAGCTGTAACTGCAGAGTAGAAGGGGACAATCAGAGATGGTAAAATGCCTGAGAATTTCATTAACTCACCCCAGCCTTTTCAAAATAAAGCATCATAGTAGGATGGTGCGTGCATTTCACTTGCATATAACATTTTTTCCAAAGAGTCTTTCTCTAATCAAGTTCTAGTCACCAAGGCTCTGAGGAGTATTTGGCCTCACCTCTGCTTCCTGGGGCTCCGTCCTGGGCCTCCACCTCCCTTCATACCTCTCTCGATGGCCAGTGGCCATGCCAGCGTGGAGTTTTGCAATATATCTATGCTTTGTCTGCAGCAGAGGTATCTGGATTAGGTCAGCTCTGGAGGGTCCCCACGGATGGGAGCTGAGAAGCCCGCACTCAGCTCCCCGCTCTGCTCTTACCCTCAAGTCATTTCTTCTACTTTACTTCAGAAGACAATACAGCTTAGTGAGTATAAGGCTTTGCCACAAGAGCTAGAATACACATACAAGGTGTGATAAAAAGCTACGGTGAATTTTTTCTTTAATTTATTACAGTAAAAAAAGTGTTGCCACTAATCCCTCTAAAAGACTTCGCTTTGCTTCAAACATTCATCCCATCATTCTTGCCACTGTCTTTTTTTTTTCTTTTTATTGAGTTTATTGGTACATTTTAGGTATGCAGTACAGTTACATTCATCATTGGGATCTTGTACCTCTACATGACAGGTCTTGGTTCTCATTTTTCCCCCTTGTCCCTGCCCTCCCTTCACCCCCTCCTCCCCTCCCCATTTACAAACACTTTATTTCCATTTTTTCATTTTCTCATATTTGTTTTCTTTTCCCTTTTTCCCTTTCCCCTACCCTTCCCACTTTCTCTACACCTTTAGCCCTTTTCTTCCTATTTCACACTGTTAATTATCCCATTAGGAGCTTGTGTACTATTATAGTTTTTCACACCAAAGAAACTATTTGGTATTTACTCATGTGTGACTTATTTATTTCACTTAGGAGTATATCCTCAATATGTATCCATTTTCCTATGAATGACTCTAATTTCTCATTCTTTGTGGCTGAGTAGTAGTCCATTTCTTGCCACTTTCTGAAGCAGTTCTGGACGTCCTCTTTCATGGATATCTTTAGTTGTGCTGTTGTGACTGCCTCCATGTCCTGAATAGATTCAAAATGTTTATCTTTTGTGGTCATTTTGACTTTAGGGAAGACCCAGAAGTCACATGGTCCAGATCCAGTGGATAAGATGGCTGACACACCATCATGTGTTTACAAGCTTGCCTTTCTGTTCAGTGGCACTCAGCAGCAAGATTCACCACATTGTTTTGTCACACCTCATAAAGATACTCAGGAAAGAGGACTTCCAGAACTGCTTCACCAAATGGCAAGAACAGGGGCCAGGGATTTAGCTCAGTAGTTCCACCGCCTGCCTCACAAGTGCAATGTCCCAAGTTCACTCCGCACAACACTTCCCCCGCCAAAATGGCAAGGACAATAGGACAGTGTTTTCAAAGTGAGGAGGAGTATTTTGAGAGGAACTGATGGCAGTGTATCTTTTACTGTAATAACTCTTTTTGTTTAAACACACTGTATTTTATTGACGAGCCCTTGCATGTGACTTCTTTTTAGCTCTACCCCTTACCCACTGTGTGACTTTGAAAAGGGTCAACCCCTTAGGCCATACTTTCATTTTTAAGAGGGACAACATAAGACCTCATAGCATATATTAAGGATAACATGAAAAAAACACAAGATTTAGTATGGTGACTGAAACATATAAACACTTAAGAAATATATTAGCTATTACTACCCAATGGGAGATTTTATTTGGCTGGGTACAATGGTCTGTGCTATAATCCACCTACCTGGGAGGCTGAGGAAGAAGGATGGCAAGTTCGAGGCCAGCCTAGACAACTTAGCAATGCCCTGTCTAAAAAGTGCTGGGGATGTAGCTCAGTGTAGAGTGCTTGCCTAGCATGTGTGAGGCCCTAGGTTCAATCTCCAGCAGTACAGAGAAAAGGAGAGGGAGAGAGCAAGTCAGGGTTACTTGAAGAAAGACCTGTTTAAAAACTTTTAAAAAGTACAAAACCAATTATCTTAGATAATAATATCCAGAAAGTCAGGAGAGAAGGACCTGGATCCAGTGTGGGCTTTCTAAGCAAGATGTGTGTGCTGGGTGTAGCCGTGTGATAGGAATCAAGCACATACAGAGGAAAGAGTCTAAGAATTTCTAAATAAAAACCAGATAAACAAACTCAAAATCATGTGACTCTGAGCGGAGCCCTGGGGCAGCAGCCACATTCCAGGAGATCTCACTATGGGCCCCTTCTGGTTGCTCCTGCACACATCTGAGCTTCCTGAGTAGCCATGGCTACAAGACCACTCAGGGCCTGGCTCTCTCTGCCCCTCCGAACCGCACATTCCCAAGACCAGGCCCCTTTGCAGACACCCAGTGAGCTTGTGCCCTCCAGTTTCTTACACTGCTCCTGGCTTTATTTTTCCCGACTCAGTGGTGTAAGCTCGCCAGAGGCTAGGAGAGAAAGGTCAGTAAGGCTACTGGATGGGGCTGGCTGGGCTCCCTGTAAAGGTTCTCCTTCCAGTGACAAAGCTACAATTGACAGTGTCCTGTGCTACCACATCCACTCATCACCTCTTCTGTGCTGCCCCAGGCAAAAAACTTTCCCAACTCCCCGTGCTAATAAATCATGCTAATTATGGCCCAAAGTTGCCTCACTTGGGCCTCCTCTGAGGCAGACGGTCTTTCTCTCCCCACTAAGCCCTGAGCTTGCTTTGGCCAGGTTGCTGCTGGACCACACTGAGGAAAGCCTCACTTCCCTAGAAATACCTGCACTCCCATAATGGAGTCGGGCAGCCCTGCCCACTTTGGCATGAACGTCCCAATTCTAAATGTCCCCAACTGGGACCACTTCAAGCATGGACGTTTACTGGCTGGCCCTGTGCGCCCTGGAGCACACCAGCCCAGCTCTGAAAGCTGTTGAGAATTCCTCCCAATTACTGAAAACGACTTCTAGTTCCTCAGCTCTTCCCAAAGCAGCTGGGCCTCAAACAAGAGTCCTGACCCACTTCAGACTTCAAAGGCAGGGCCTGCTACTTCATAGTGGCCTGGGGACATTTGGATTAAGCCTTCCTGGCACAGGATGCCAGCAGTCTTGAGTGGCAACACAGGTAGAAGGCTCTCATGGCCTGGCTTCCCCCAAAAATTTGGTTTCTGAACGGTACAGGCAATCAAGGAAAGTGCTGTTCGTTTCCAGACAATACAGTTTGTCAAAGACAATATGTTCTTGGGTGTGTAGCCCTTTCTTTTATTTTCCTTGAGTTCATTTCTTTCAAGTAGCAGAAGGGTCTTCTTCATGTTATTTTCTGGGGTTAGAAGTCATGGCACCATCCTCTCTCCATCGCTTTCTGATTTTTCAAACCTAGGTTATATATAGATAGATTTATCTGTGTATATTCACCCAATTTTAATTTCAGTCAGTCTTCAAGATGTGTGCCCCACTTGGTCCCCCTCCACCTAGAAGGGTGAGGTTCTATATGATGCAGAATGCCCAGATCCAAAGACAGAAGTTGGCGTGGGCCTAACTCCCTCACTAACCACTTGTGTCACCTTAAGGGGTTGTGTAACCTCCCAGAACTTCAGTCTCCTCACCTGTAAAATGGAGATAATAATCACTCCTGGCTTGGTTACACCTACTGAGCACCTACAGTGGGCTGGACCAGGCCCTCACCTCTCCTCTTCAGCTCAAGCAGCACCCGAGGTCTGGGGAGGGAGGTGCTAGGAATCCTTCCAGACCTTCTGAGAAGGCGCCTGAGGGGGAAACTCTCTGAGAGGGCCAGTGAGTGGAAAAGTTGGGGAGGCGGAAGAATTGCTCAGGAGACAGCCGAGAAAAAGCACCGTAGAAAGGCTGAGCTGTGGAGAAACCTGAAAGAGGGGAACAGGGAGAGATGAGGGGGGAGCGGGGATGAAGAGGCTTCCTCACCTCTGTGAGCCTGACCCTCCTCTCCCTGAGGATGAACCACCAAACCCACCTCACCAAACAGCAACCCATGGATGCTGGCTCCTGTAGCCCTCCCTCTGTGTCACTAAGCGTAGCCATTTCCCCTCAGCTCTGGGGACTGTGGGAAGGGCTTTGGGGACGAGGAGAGCCAACGGCCTCTTGGCTTAGGCCCCAGCTCTGCTCCAGACCCAAGCTGCACACAAAGCCTGCTCTGTGGTCAGCCTCACAGAGGGAACGGGGAGCCAGGCCAGCGACACCTTCCAGGTGTCAGCGCTACCCCACTCACATTTCTCTGAATTCTGAAGGCCCTTTTGGCTTCCAGAAACAACATGGTCCCCCTCAAGTGCCAAAGAAAATAACAAGGGGGTAGGAATGGAGAGAGCGAGGGAACAGAGAGCCAAAGCTTTCCCTGAAGAGAAACGTGCCATGCCCTCCACTGGCAGAACACTGATAACCATCTCCGTCAGGGCCCAGCGCAGGAGCAGCAGCTGAAGAATTTCAAGGCTCATAAACATCTCCCTTCAGAATGCTGGCTAAGTCCAACGGCCCCTTAGGTTTACTCAAGCCAGAAATCAGTAGAATAAAACACAGACCGAACTTGAGAAGGGCCTCTGTTTCTGAAGGGGCCTATGTCTGCTGTGAACTGCCCACAATGGGTCTGGTAGGGGCCCCAGCCAGCAGCCAGGAAGCAAGAACAGTGCTGGGGTCACACCGGCCTCACTCCTCTCATCCGTCAAGTAGAGGCTGCAAAATCAGCCTTTTCCAATCTGGAAGAATACTGACTCTTTCATCTACCTGCATGTAAAATTATAGTTAAAATTTTAAAACAAATCTATTGTTCAGGTTTGACTGCCCCTCACCCCGCCACTCTACAAGAGGAAAAGAGATGTCTGGGAGGGCCCTGGCCTCAGTTTCCACTTTCGTGGCATAGCCCTGATTTGGCAGACTGGTCGGAAGGATTTGGGAGACTGGAGATGCTGTCAGAAAGGACATGTGGCACCTTGGTGATGTGCAGTGGGGTTAGTGAGTGGTAGCCCCGGCAGGGCAGAGAGCCCACTTCCTGGCTGGAGTAGAGGTGCCACAGCTCTGCTGGGGACAGTGGCAGTGAATGTAGCATTCACAGGCAGAAGGGCAATAGCGCCACTATTGTGGAATCTAACTGGAAAGTGGCCTTTCTGTCATCCACATAACCAGACCCGGTCCCCTGAGCTGTATACTCCGCTCTCTGCTCTTCTCCTCAGACCACTGCATGCTCTCTAGATCTCTGTCTGCCTCTCTTCCCATGTCCCTCCTCTTCCCTCACTGACCCTCTGAGGCCAGCACAGTGGGATGCGAAGAGCAATGACATTTGAGTCCAGGTTGGGATTCACATCTTAGCTCTGCCTCACACTGGCCATGGAACCTTAGGAAAGTCTCCTATGACCCTCACGAGCCTCACCAGTGGCCTCCTAGGGGACAGAACCAACTGTGTCTCATCCAGCATGAATCTTGGACACATATTTTGTTGTGCCGCACACTAGAGGTGTACAACGCTAATGTCAATAGTAGAAAAATCTTCCAGGCTCTGTTCTAACTACTTTATTAACTCATTTAATCTGCAGAATAACCCTGTGATATAAGTGCTATAATTATCCCCATTTCACCGATGAGGAAACTGAAGTCATTAATTGATTGGATGGATGGATGGATGGATGGATGGATGGATGGATGGATGGATGGATAGATAGATGGACAGATGAATGAATAGCATGGAAATCATAAGATTTATTTACTCCAAAAATAAAAGATTTTTTACACCAAAGAGTCTGACCAAGTAAAGGGTACCTCCTCCCTTCTATAACCTCTCTGCCACATTTTAGCTTCTCCTTGGAACACTGAGACAGGGCTGTTGAGTTCCAGATCTTTGTCCTGGGCCATGCACGGCTGCTTCCTGGGCAGCCAGACAGGATGGCAGTCACAACCATCTGGGTGTGTACACCCCTCCTTGGAAGGATTGAGGAGCTCTGGTGTCAAGATAGAAAATCCTCAGACCACCACCAAAACCTCAAGAACACAACACAACCCACTGTCCTGTGACACCTTCCTCCAGAGTCACCTGCTTGGTAGTCCAAGGTCCGTCAGACTCTGGACAATATCTAACTGGCACGGGGCCCTGGCACAAGATACTCAGAGGATGTGCACAACAGGAACCAGTTTAGAGCACAGAGAATCAGGTCCACTTCAGATTCTGTCCAGAACACAGTAGGCGTTTGATAACTGTTGAATTACTTGGTAATTTTCTTTGTACCAGGCTACGTATATTAATCTCAAATCCCCTCAGAGGTCTGTGAGTCAATCACATTAGTCCCATTTTGCAGATGAAGAAACAGAGGTTGAGATAGTAAGAGACTTTACCCAAGTAGAGAGCAGTCAAATCAAAGTTTGAACCCAAGCCTGTTATGCTCCTAAATTTGTGTTCCTGATGGCATGTTGTCTAAAACCAAATAACTAAAGGGTCTTTGGCTCTCCTCCTCCACTGGGCCCCTCTTTCTAAGCACCAGAGTGAGGTGCTTATTCTCGGCCCTCTCCTTCCCTCTCTCTCCAAAGTCTGTCTGCAGGATTCCTTCCCTCTGGTCTTTGCAGAACAAAAAGAAGGTAGCCCGAACTCCTACAGAGCAGCTGGAGCATAGCCAGGGTCTCATCCAGGGGATGCCTTTGGGGACCATGGATCCTCACTTCTCTCTCTCTCCGGGTGCAGCTTGTGACTCCTACTGGACATCAGTCCACCCTGAGTACTGGACGAAGCGCCATGTCTGGGAGTGGCTGCAGTTCTGCTGCGATCAGTACAAGCTGGACACCAACTGCATCTCCTTCTGCCATTTCAACATCAGCGGCCTGCAGCTGTGTAGCATGACCCAGGAGGAGTTCGTGGAGGCAGCAGGCATCTGCGGGGAGTACCTGTACTTCATCCTGCAGAACATCCGCACGCAAGGTCAGTCGCGGGACCTGGTCATGGCAGGAGCCTGGGACCAGACTTCCCGAGAGGTCCTTCCAATCCCTGTGACTCGCTCAGCGAGACTCATTCACTGGAGCTCTCCATTAGCCAAAATTTCTCAGCAACGGGAAGCTCTAGGGTGTTACTGCAGAGGTTTTAGGTAATGATAGTAAGTTAGGGAAAAGCAAAGTGAGTACATTAAAAAAAAAAAGGCTGATAGCAACAGAATGATGCAAGATGTTCACAAATACTTTTGGTGGGCAAAAAAACTTTATGCTTCATCTGTTGTTAAGCAGAAGGAGAAAAATTAATGGATTTCCAGTATGCAGAGGAGACCAGATAATTAGCATTTCCGGTGACATAACTAAATGGTGACAGATCAAATGGCCAACAGGTGGCGCCAGTAGCTTGATTTGGCTCCTGTGAGAGCAAATGTTGACATGTTTTTCCAATCGGGAAAGGGTTTTTGAAAATACTGTATCAGTGTCCCAATGTCACAGATAAGGGAACTGTTTAAGTGACTTTCCCAAGAATACGCAGCACACATACAGTAGGTATGAAGCAAGGGCCTGGATTGGTAGGACCCCCTTTCGGCCTCTGCTCCACCCCTTGAGACTCTGCAAGAGGCTTCACCCCCATATCGGCATGGCTGGCTTCATCTGCCCATCAGAGGGTGGTGCAGGACACCTCCATGGGCTTCCAAGAGGATTTAGCGAAATATTAGCTGGCACAGCAGTGAAGGACATAAATGCAGTAAATGGCAGCGGTTTCCGTCATCGTTAAGGTAGACAGGAGGCAGACATTTTTAAAACTGAAGGAAATAAAGTGTACATCTCAGGGCAGTTTTAAGAAAGTCTATCAAAAAGTTAGTGCCTGCTTTTGGAAAGGCTATTGTAGAAGATACAAAAGGTAGGGAGCTCACTGCCAGTGGAGATGATCAAGCAATCAGTAGCCCCTGCTTAATGGGCAGGCTGTCGCAGGGATTCCTGTTTGGACAGAATCCCTGGGCCATGGAAAGGATCAAGTCCCATCCTAGAAAAGTCTGCAGTGTGGCTTTGCCAGCCTGGCCAAATGTCAAGTCAACCAAGTTGTTCTCCAGGCACCAAGCTGGAGCACCTCCTTTCCCTGGCAACTGTCGTATCAGAAAATACCGGTCCCTGGTCCCATTAGCTCAGGCAAAATGAATAAGCTAAAAATGGACTCTTAGGGCTGGGAATTTAGCTCAGTGGTTCAGTGGCCTGCCTTGCAAGCACAAGGACCTGAGTTCAATCCCTGGTACCAAAAAAATAAAAAAATAAAAAATAAAAATGGACTCTTAGGGCTGGGAATTTAGCTCAGTGGTTCAGTGGCCTGCCTTGCAAGCACAAGGACCTGAGTTCAATCCCTGGTACCAAAAAAATAAAAAAATAAAAAATAAAAATGGACTCTTCTAATAGGCCATAGTTGGCTCTTCTTTTTCTTGGGATTCCCTGAAGTCACAGGTGCCACCTCCAGTGGTGACACTTGGGCCACCTTCTAGGCAAGCGGAGCTTCGTGTTGAGCTGTACGAGTATCTGTTGCCAACCTGTTCTGTTCTGAAATGCCCCCTTCAAGGCTCCCCAAGCAGATCTGTGTACATGTGTATTGTGACCAAAGTTCACATTGTCCCAAATTCTCCAGAACATGTTTTCATCTATCATTCTGGAATAATTATTAGTAGTGTTTGCCTTTCATTCTCAAAAGGGTCTGCATTTGGACAATAAGTTACAATACGAATAATCATTTAGTCTCTGCCTTACATTGTCCCATAGGTTAGGGCGCTCACAGAATAGGGCAAAGCAAGGGAATTTGACCACCACAGGAGCTACGGGGACTCTAGGGCCCGGAGAACCATCGGGCTCAGGAGACATTACAATCAGATCTAAGGACACCAACCCTGAAGGAGAGGTTAGGGGAAAGGCCGAGGGCAGAGGGTGGCTTCCACAGCACAGGAGAGGAATGAGTCCCTCGTTTGTCCCACACCCTGTTCTACTCAGTTCTTTGGGCAGAGTCACCAGAGGCATTGTGCCAAGTGATGCCAAGGAGAATGTGGCACCAGGAATAAGCAGTCACAAACATGCCCTGTTCCCATCTCCTTGGTAAATATAAATTAGTTCTCACTTTGGACACCAAGTTAGGAATCAGGTGGCCTTTGGGCTATCTTACTACTTGAAAGCATGATCCAAAACACCTGATCCAAGCCTAGCTCACCTCATTCTACAAAGAAACCAAGGGCATAGTCTTCCAAGCCCTTGGTAAACTTGGCATTCATACAGGGTTTTGTGGTTCTTCAGCTTCTTCTGCCCATTCTCCCCTTTGACCAGCACATAACAGAGATTCTAATCTCAAGGGATTAGAATCCCATGTCAGAGATCACAGGGTCTACGCCGAAAGGGAGCTGAGTGGGTGTTTTGCCTCATGTTGCCACTGAGAGCAACCAATGAGCCCAGAGATCAAGTGGCTGGCAAAGGCCACACAGCGATCTGTGGTCTGGCCCAGCTCAGAGCCCGGCCCTTTGGGCTCCTGGCCAGCACTCACTCCCCAGTGCCCATCAGAAGATCCACAGAGCCTTCTGGGTACTTGGCTCCCGCTGCTCTTTCCAAGTGACCTTTAAGAACAAGGAGTCTGTCACTTCCCAAGGGTGGCTTCAGGGTGGCTCTGTAATGGCCAGACAGTCTCCAGCTTTCTTTCTAAAATAAAAACACTGTTCCTAGGGAACATTTGCCCTCCTGCACCCCAAACCTCCTTTCCTGGACTGGCCAGGGGCAAGCAGCACTGTATGCTATGGTTTGTGGATTCTTTGTCTTTCCCAGGTTACTCCTTTTTCAATGACCCTGAAGAAACCAAGGCCACCATCAAAGACTGTAAGTAATCAAGCTCAAGTTGCACAAGCCTCAGCTGAGGCTGCTGTCGGGCACTCGGGATAGTCCTGCGTTTACCACCACCCCAGAAGTTTAATGAACTGAAACAAGCCAAGGCATGGAGAAGGGAGTAAGGAGAAGTGTGGTGGAAAGAGTGTGAGTGTGTTCTGTGAGTCCACATCTTGGGTCCTGAAGTGCCTGCCTTCCCACTTCCTGGTCTATAGAACGGTGGAAACTTGCTGGGCCATGGTGAGTTCCAGAAATAATGCCACAAAGTGCCTGGTAGGTGACAAGGTGTGACGGCTCCCAAAAGTGGTACCTGTTAGCTGTAATACTAATAACTAATCATCATCAAGGGTCTTGTGGGTGAGAGTGTGTGCGCACAATCTGAATCCAAGCGCACTAAGTAGACCAAGTTTATAATTATAAGACAACGGAGGATCTCAAATGGCCTTGTCGATCCCGAAGATTAGCTCGGCCTATTTCACTTTGCAAATGGAGAAGGTTTCAGAAAGGGAATTTTAGGCTTCCATGTTTTTAAAGATGAGGATTATCACGATTCACTAGTAAGTTCCATCCAAACGCCCTCACCCAGCAGCCAAGAGGAGATGTGGTCCTGGGCAGCCCCCTTCCCTCAAGGACTTCACTTTCAGCTCATTCGTTTATAAAGAAAAGGTAGAACCCACAACAATTTTCAAGGCCCCTGAGAGGTGTCAGCCAGTCGGACAGACGAGAGGGACCATCCCTGATGACTTATTTTTTCTCTCCCAAAAGTCCAAAGGAATCAACTAAGGATTCTGGTTATTTGTGTCCAGATGAACAAAAGTTGTGGGGTTTTGGTTTTGGAGGTTTGGCACAAACATAGCCAGATCCATGCACCACATGGAAAAAAGGGAAGAGGTAATGGGGAGAATGGCAAATACAGAGGCTCTGATCCATGAACAATCTTACCTTAAAAAAGAACCCAAGAAGGCCAGAGGACCCAGCGTTAGTTGTCCAGTATAGCTGCCACTAGCCACATGTGGCCATTTAAGTTAAATAATATTAAAATTAAGCTCCTTGGTAGGACTGATTGCATTTTAAGTGCCCAGTAGCCACAGGTGGCTAGGGGCTACCATATTGGATGACCCAACTGTCCAGATTGCACCATCCCAGGAGTCCATGGACATCTGGGACAGTGTTGGGAGAATATCGGTGAAATCAGCAGACAGAGAAGAGGACAGCGGCAGGTTTGTGGGTTGTGGAGTTTGGGTTTTATGATGAGTGGGCCGGTATACTGCTGAAGAGTTGTGAGCATGATAGTCAGACCCATCTACGTCTTAAGATCTCTGGGGCTGCTGTGTGTGGGCTGGAAGGAGCCGGGGCCAGCGATGGGGAAAAGATAGAAGTATTTGCAGGTGGAAGTGGTGGGACAAGGGCTCCAGGGCCACATCTCCTAAAAAAACACAACTGAAGCCAGGCATGGTGGCACACACCTGTAATCCCAGCACTTGGGAGGCTGAGGCAGGAGGATCACTGTGAGTTCGAGACCAGCCTGGGCTACATAGTGAGTTCCAGGTCAGTCTCAACTACAGTGAGACCCTCTCTCAAATAAAAAAACAAAAACACAACAAACCCTCTGCCAATGGCCACTGCATTCAGCTCTGCCAAGTCCTCTCCAATCATGAGAGACACAGCTTCTAGAATGAACTCACAGTTGAGGTGTCTGGTGAGCCTGCCTGGACTCCAGCCTCACAGCCCCGCAGGGAGGCCTGACTGGCTCAGCACAGCCCCGAGGATCACGCTTTGCCAGAACAGAAATGCTAATGTATAGTCTGATGGCACAGGGATAGGTATGAAGGCAACAGTTTGGTACCTTATACAGCGATCCTATTCTAGAAAAGCCAGGAGACTGGGCCACAAAACCTATGGCCCAGGTGGTGTTTTGTGGTCTCAGATATCCCTGACTCAGAAATGAGAGGCTGCCTTTCAATGCTGTCATGGCAACCAGAGACTAAGTCCTGACCAAGAGGATAAGGTGGCATCTGGGACTTCTGGAAATGGGGTCTTTAGTGGGAATGAATAGCTCTCGTTACATTTTTATAGTGCAGTATTGGGGATTGAATGTTGGACTTCATGCATGCCACGTATTTGCTCCCCTGCTGAGCTATGTCCTCGTCCCTTTTTACTTTGAGACAGAGTCTTGCTAAATTGCCCAAGCTAGACTCAACCTTGCAACCTTCCTGCCTTAGCCTCCTGAATGGCTGGGATTATAGGCATGTCCCACCATACCAGCTTCATTACTATTTATTAAGTACTTACCGTGTGCCAGGTGTGGGGTTATACTAAATATCCTGCATATTTTAACCCCAACAGGTAGTTACCGCACAGTTACCTCCATTTGTATCTCAGGAAACCAGGGCTGTGGGAACTTGTGAGCAAATGTAGAGCTGGGATTCCATCGTGTTTTCTCAGTGCCTCTGCTCTTATCCATTGAGCAGTATGTCCACACACACACACGCGCGCGCGCGCGCGCACACACATGATCCTAGGCCCTTCAATTCACTTGGCTTCCCACAAGGGGGAGGCCCAAGGTCCGGGGAGTCTGGGCCCAGTTTAACAGTGATTCAATGGGACAATTTTCAACCTAGTGCCCACTGAAGGTTCCAAGGCCCAGCAAGCTATGAAGGCTCTAGAACTGGCCAAAGCAAAGCTACCCAGCCCTGTTCCACACCAGAAATGCCAGAGAGAAGCCCACAGTCTTGGCTTGGCTGCTGGCAACTCATGCTAGAGCCTCAGAGCATCCCTGCACCATCCTGGCATGGGGTGTGGGCCTTGTGCCTGGACTGTGAGTGCCATGGGATGTGCTGAGTTTGACTCGGAAACCCTGCCCGCAGGCCCCTTCCCAGCTTCCAGAGTATCCTGGACTACGATTTCAATCCACAAATGAGAATTAAGTCCTTTGGCCACAGTTAAGTTTCCAGTCTCGAGGCCAATGAAACCTGTGTGCATGTCACACACAGCACGAGGCCAGGCCAGGCCTCCACGCAGCCTACACGCGCACAGCCCAGCTGCAGGGGCATGTTTGAGAGGGAGACTGAGACAGGGAGAGCCACACCCAGAAACACCGCTGGCATCTGCAGGGCGATCAGCTGGGTTCCGATGCGGCGAAAAACCCACTGGCCGATCTTGGTGAAGGTTTTGCTTGGAAGCCGGCCTCGACATTAACATGGCAGTGATGACTTTGGTCCCCCTGCCCACACACTGTCCCCACTGCCACCACCAGCCAAGCAAGGACTTGAATCTTGTCACCCTATGAGTACCTTCAATGTCACCACAGGAACAGAACACGAAGATCCCCAAGTTCCTACCACCTCTGTCCAACCTCACCAGGGAAACATCCCCCCTCCAGAACACAGGGCAGGAGAGTCATAAAAACTAGAAGAGTGACTTTCCCTCCCTCTTCTAGCAATTTTAGCATTTCAGAGAAAGCAGTAATTCAGCTTTGTTTATCTTGATGACTCCTTTCATTTTCCCTCTTCCTGAACTATTAAAACAATGGGGAGGTCTGGAACTGGGGATACACAGGAGGCACGGCGTGGCTGAGATGACTACGTGGCCACATTTAGCTGATCTTCGCTAACCAGTATTCATTCGCTACCTACCGGAGCACTTACTACGAAAAACACGATAAAATAGAAGCTGTGAGCATCGGGTTTGGAGCGGGAACTCTCGGGTCCTGCTTTCCCCATCTGTATAAAGTGTTTACATGCTCTGGGCTTTAAGATTCCTCCAGAATAAAATGAAATCTCAATAGTATCACACAGGGCAGTTGCAGGAGTAAAGGAGAGGATGTGTGTGAAGCTCTTAACAAGCCCTTGGCACTCAGTAAATGCTCCATAAATCTCAGCTGGTAAGGGATAAAGGGACAAGATGGATCTTTACTTCACCTGGGTCACCTTTACTTTTATTTACATCCCTTCCAATCTGTTCTCCATACAGTAGCCAGGGGGATTGTCTTAAAATGTGGATCTTCACTTTACTCCTTGATATAAAATCCCAAGGCTTCACCACAGGTTCTAAGGGTGGAGCTGATGCTTTGATGCCAAAGGGACACACAGGTGCTATGGGACTCAGAAGGGATCTAACCCAGAGGGCAAATTCAGGGAAGGCTCCCTGAAGAGCTCCAGTGTAGAAGTGGTAGGTGGGAAGCCTGTGCCTAGGTCCTGAGGCAGAAGAAAGCCACACCCCACTGGGGCCATCTGACCCAAGAGAAGGGAGCAAAAAGAGATAAGGTTGGAGATCTGGGTGGAATCCAGTTGGTGAAAGATCTAACTAACATGGCAGCCTTCATCCTGAAGGCGGCAGGGAGCAACATGACACAGTGGCACTGAGACAAGTTGCCCTGGCAATAGAGTGCACAGGACAGTGCATCGATTCCTTCGTTCAGGGTAGTATACATCTTGGACTACACAGCACATATGGTTAGTGGCTGGTCAGTGGCACTGATGGATACCTACTCTACATCTAGCGCTGTGCTAGGTGCGGGGGGATACATCTGCCAGCACCAGCAACTGTGGGCTATAGAACTAAAGACATCAGAGCCTACATGCTCAAGGTGACAGAGGAGGTAAGGGAAGTGGATATGGAGTGCTGCATCTGAGTATGCATGTGTGATGACAATTTGCATAGTCAGAAAATGCCCCCACAGGAAGGAGATTTTGAGCCGAGTGTGAATTGATGGTCTGAACTCACAGATATCTGAGGAAAGAGCATTCTGGACAAAGGGAAGAGCAAGTGCAAAGGCCCTGAGGTGGAATGTGCTTGCAGGATTGAGAAAGAGCCAGAGGTCAGGGAGTCTGGAGAAAGGTGAGAGGCTAAGGGAAGAGGCAGAGATTTAATGTGGGACAAGGTAGGGCAGATCCAGTACTCCTGTTTAAAACAATAATATGTTATTTTGGGAGAGCGCTGTGTTAGATGGTCACAACATGAGCTATACATAATTTAACTCAACACTGAGTTAACGACTTGCTTTCTATCCTTTGTAAGCTTCTAGTCTTTGCTTTTACTTGTGTCCTTTCCGATCTGTTCTCCCCACGGTAGCCTGAGAGATCTTAAAATGTGGATGTTCGCTTTACACTTTGATGTAAGATGCCAGAGCTTCACCATGGCCTCTGAGGACGTCCCCACATGGGTAGCCGGCCACCAGCTTCCCTGGGGGTTGGCCCCCCACTCTCCCAGCATGCAGAGCGCCTGCCTCACAGGTACTCTCTTCACGCCTGGCTCCGCACACGCTGCTTCTCCTGCTGGGGCCCCTCTTCTAGCCTCCTCAGTCACAGCACAATGTCTCCTCTCTCAGCACAATGTCTCCTCTTCAGGACACAAGGCTTCCTCCACGCTGGCTCAGGCTCCTTCGCAACATCAAAAGCTGGGTGGTCTGCCTGCTTTCTTTCTGTTTTCCTGCCTGTTGTTCCTTCAGCTCCACGTGAGAAGAGACCGTGCCTATCATGATCACTCTTATGTCCCAGCACCCAGACCGTGATAGGTCCCAGGATTAGACGTAAACTTTCTCCAGAGGCATAGAGAGTCTTCAGCCTGTCTGTCCCACTCATCCACCAAGGACCCACAAAGTGCCAGCACTGTGTCTTCTACCACAAAAGCAGTCAGGGAGCATCTGCTCGTTCAGGTGTCGCACGGGGCCTCTGTGATGCTTTCCACAGCTGTGAGTCCTTCTGTTTCAGATGCCGATTCCAACTGCTTGAAAGCCAGCGGCATCAAAAGTCAAGATTGCCAGAGCCACAGTCGGACAAGTAAGTGTGGAGGCGCCACTTTTCATTTCCAGCTGCTAAAAACCATTCCTGAGACAAGACAAGCGACTCCAGGAAGCTTTAAAACTGAATGTGTGTGGCCAGCACTTCCCAAGGAGGGTAGCAGAGAAGTCATTTTCACTTCTGGACATGTTATCAAAGTCTAGTTTATTTCTTTTTACTTGCACTGACATTTTAAGAATGAAAGTGGGGAAGTAAAGAAATAGTCTAGGCATTTTGTATTTCTGAATGAAGGTTTTATTTCTCCTGGTCTGCGATGGGTCTTTCTCATGGAAGCACTCAGAGAACAGCAAAGAAAATGCCTGGTGTTGGCAATTCTATGAGCCTTTCCCAGCACTCAGATCAGCCCAGTGCAAAATCAAGCTACTGTCTCACAAATATAGGAGTGGAAAGTAATCACTGCATGCTGGGTATGGTTATATCCACATGGCAGGTATTAAATCATTCAACCCTCCGCCCTATCCTATGACATGGGTTCTCTTCTTATCCCATTTCATAGAAGAAGTAGCTGGAGAGATCACAGTTACAGAGCTAGGAGGAAGCAAATTCAGCCCCCACGCCCAGGCTAAGGACATGATAATGGGGCAGGGGCAGGACAGGTGTGGGCTGCAGGATCTCAGTCCAACCTATCAGAAAGGAGAATGAAAAGCTCCTTTGTCCGTGGTTTCCTTCACTGCATAAGAAGTAACCCATGGTTCACTGAGCGAAGAGCCCTCACGAGCCGCAGTACTGGTGGCCAGGATAAAATCTGGTATCTCTGACTGTATGTCTTGCTGTTGCTTTATTAGAAGACAGACATCTCCCAGTTCAGTAAGGTTCCCAGAGGAAACACTCAGTCATACGACGAGAAATCGCTCCACAAAGGATCTAGTTTTTTAAATGTAAGTAGCTAACATTGTTTTCCTTCTCAAAAGGCCTCCAAAGTTCTCATCTATGGGAATTTGTGCGAGACTTGCTTCTATCTCCTGAAGAAAACTGTGGCATTCTGGAATGGGAAGACAGGGAACAAGGTATTTTTCGGGTGGTTAAATCAGAAGCCTTGGCAAAGATGTGGGGACAAAGGAAGAAAAACGACAGGATGACCTACGAGAAGCTGAGTAGAGCTCTGAGGTAAGTTAATAGCATAAAATACCACAAGCCTTCAAAGACAAGTTATACAAAACGGGCAGCCATAGAACATTACACTGTGTTTGCAGCTTTTTACTCGATAATGGAAAGATCATGAGACAAAACTTGGGTTCTTACTTACAGGCAGGATTATGGCTGGTAAACTAACACTCCATACTTTCCACGCTTGGCACTCTTCCCCAGAAATCAATCTGAATCCAGTCTCTGTCTCTTTCTCTGTCTCCCCCCACCCTCAACACACACACACCACAGTTTGAACCAATTACGGTGGGGTTCAATCTTCAAGATGTCTGGGAAAGGCTTTAAGTGTAAGCTGATAAGGAGGTGTGAAAATACCACAGTAACCAAAGACCGGCCTGGTCACCTAAGAAGGAGCAGAGTTGTTTATGTTCTGTTGTTTTCCCGGGGTACAAACCCTCCCCGAACTTCTCTTCTATTTGCTTTCACAGATATTACTATAAAACAGGAATTTTGGAGCGGGTTGACCGACGGTTAGTGTACAAATTTGGAAAAAATGCACACGGCTGGCAGGAAGACAAGCTATGATCTGTTCCAAGCATCGAATTCATTTTATGGATTTCTGTCTTTGAAAACAATCAGATTGTGACAGACATTTGAAAGTCTTTTTTTTTTTTAAACCTGCAAATGTGCTGATAAAATTTCTCTACATCTCAGCTTACATTTGGACTCAGTTGTTGTCTACTTGGGGTGACGGCTGCAGCCCTTCAGAAATCTCCCTCTCCCCAGGGGAGGAAAGGGATGGTCTTTTATGGTATATTGATCTAATATTATTTCCCTAATCAAAAATTGCAGAGCCACAACAGCCAATGTCATTGGTGCTGCTCCGAGAAAAGAGCTGATTCTGTCATTGGACACATCCGACACCCTTATCCTGAGCTTCCCACATGGTCAAGTGGAGGACTGTGGCAGCTCACAAACCAAAAAGAAATCATGATTAGTGTGTAGTTTATAGCAGGAGAGAGTAATACAAGACATACTGTCTTTAGATTTTAAATAATTAAAGTCAAATCCCATAGAAAAGTTCCTTTTTTAAAAAAGATCAGCCATTCAGCTGGGACATAACTGGATTCAGCATAGGTTCATAGGAGGTTTCTTGACCACAACCTCTTTTTGACCACTCAGCAAAACTCCCATGACCACCCTTCTGAAGTACACACTTAAAATTAACCAGTTATGAACTGCCACTAAGACTATTTCCTCTCTTCTAATGGAAGGCTAGCATCAGATATGCAAAAAGCTAGCCAACAGACATGCACAACAAGTCTCCAGTCTCTGCTGTCTCTGTGATTCCAGCCGTCAACAGGATAAAATCATAATTCGTTGATTCTGTCTGAAGACATTAAACCCTTATAGAACTGGAAACGTCCCAGCGACCTGTGAGTTTCTTTTGTTTTATCTTCTTACCTGATGAGTACTCAAGTTCTAAAACACATTTCCTTGGCAAAAATAGCAACAGTGACTTTACACCGGTGAACAGTCTTAGGCTAACGTCTGCCCTGACATTTCCTCACCTTTCACTGGTGTGTAAGTTGTAGTGACCCACAACTAGGTGGCCTGGCCCTGCACCTCAGACTTCATCGGAGCTGACCATCAAGTGCTGAGGCACTGAGAACCACAACACAGGCTGCAGACCTGGTTTAAAAAAAATGTGAATTACTGTAAAATAATCTATTTTTGGACTCGTGTTTTCCAGGTGGAGAGAGTTTGTAAACAATGTGAATAAAATATTTAACATATCTGTCTCTGTATTTCTCAGTTCGGTATGATAGGCTTGGTTGGCAAAGCAATCACAACCTAGATCAATGTTGATTTTTTTTTTTTTTTTTTTTTTTTTTTTAAATTTG